CAATAGGAGTGTAACAATACATCAATCAATGTAGATATATCGATATAGTGGTTAATTCAATTAAATTTCAAACTTTATTCATTCCATAAAAACAAAACAAAATTCTATGTACAATAAAAAAACAAAATACAAATAAAATGAAATGAAAGGCGGCAGAGAAGAAAAAAAATCTCATAATATCTGCCCCTTTTTTCTCAATTATTAATTCAAACTATAAAGTTAACAAAACTATCAGTTAACAAAACATCAAATCTTTCTAGAACAACAAATTGAATGGCTACATATTAATCCTTTTCATATTTTTTTAACAATCTAGTCTTTATCTTGAACATGTACATTGATGTATTATTTTTAACATCATCTTCCAAATTATTCCACAATCTGACTCCTTGGATTGAGCTGCACCGTTCTTTCAAACAGGTCCTAAATTTAGGTTTCATGAACAWCTCTGTTCCCTTCAGATTATAACAGCTCTCTCTTCAAAGTTTATCTGGATGTTTAAAGGTAATGTGTTTCAGTGTGTTTTACACATAAAATATTCTAATCAGCCAAATCATAGAATTTCAATAAWTAAAAATAATTATTTCAGGATAAAATGAAAAGAAAAAAGATCTGTATTGTCATCATATGACTGATATAYGCCCATTTAACAGTCATTGTGTTAGATGGGCATATATCGTATCATATTGATCGCAGACTTGTGAACTGAATCAAGTAGTCTTCATGTGATATTGAGAAATATATCGTCATCCAAACACATCGATATTTATTTATCATATTGCGATAAAGATGCTAATTCTGCCTCCTTTCACAGTTAAAATGATCAGGATCTCAGGAAAATGTCTGAGAGGAACAGACTYAAGGAGGCAGGTAATGAAGGTGGAAAATGTTTTTTTGTTTTGGTTTGCAGGTTCCTGGTGGCAGGACGGCGTKGGGGTGAGGGCGAGTTTCCAAGTCAAGGGTCCACGGAGGTGTAGAGGCAGAGTGGACGTCTGAGAATACTGTAAACCAGGCCCGGTGCTGGTCATCTGGGTGCCCTAAACACAACTGCTTTGTGGTGCCCTCCCCCTCCCAGAAATGAAAGATATTCAGTAATGCCAGTGCGCTTCTCTTTATTTAAAATAATAATAATAATAACAACTTCTCAATCTTGTTTTGAAAACAGATTTGCAAATATTAGAATATGAACACACACGTGTTAAGGTAAGAGGAGAAAATAAAACTTTGATAAAATACTACAGCTATTTTTGCATTAACAAAGTCACTAAATAAATAAATACCATCATTATTTAAAAAGACCTGTGCAGTGACTCAACAAAAGAAAGGAAGTGGCAGTTGTGTGTCTGACTTGTGTCTGTAGATGAACTGTTGAGTTGATGGTTGGATGAATCCTGCTGACCCGTCCACAGATCTGCTGGTTGGTGGCTGAACTGCTGCTGGATGATGATCATCTGAATCTTCCTCCTGGCCTTCAGCTCCTCCTGGCACATATCTCAGCATTGACCCTGTATTATTCAGGAACACAAGACAAAATACTCAGAGATTCATACAGAAATATAGTTTTAAACAAAGGCACAACAAATATAGCAAACATTAAAGGCCAGGATTGATGGAGCACAAAATAAAGATTCTGTTTATCATTTAACTCATTAATGACAGACAGTAGAATAATGACTGAGATACATGGTTCACGTCATAAAATAAACTAATACTGTCCTCGTCAGGTTGTCAGACAGGCCAGTTTATTCAACTAACAGGTTTTCTTCTTCCAACTGAGTTAGTTATAAAAGGTTATTCATTGTATGTAWGTATGAAGCTGAAGAATAGTTCTTTGTGATAAAAATAAATTATTTGACTAACTCTTTGTAACCTGAAATAATTTGTACTTATATTAAGATCATTGGTACAGTTTACAGAAAACCTCTGTAAAGTTATTTGCTATATTTTAAAGTTACTGACATAAAAACCATCTATATGTATCTTTGTTTACATATATAATTAAATATGCTTTAAAGATATTTATTCTTTTAAAAAAATTTTGGGCTTAGGTCTGCTTGATAAAATACTGTAAATGCATAAATATCCAGCTGCTCAGGATGAACACAGACTGTAAAAACAAGTGAAGTACAAAATGTTTAATTATACCACTGTTAGTCATTTAACAGTGACTAACTGTCTAAACTTGTAAATCGGTTGTTTATTCTAAATGTTCACAAACCATAACATTCAAAATTTCCTCAGCTTTATTTTTGAACCATGGTATATTAAAGTCAAGCAAGAAATAAGAACTTTATCAGAGTTTTTCTACAGGACAACACCTCATTAGTTTAGTTAGCTAGCTAGCTGAAGCTAACCCGGCGCTAACACTGTTAGCTAACGGTGGTACATGAACAAACAGGTTAAATGTGACACATTTCACAGTATTCAGTTGTTATTTAAACATCCTCCTACCTGGAAACGCTGCACGAGCATCAGCTGCCTCTTCTTCTCCTCGTGGCCCCCTGAGGCTGTTCGGCTCACCTGCTGTGACTCCAGTGGAACGTACCACTTTACGAGATGGGGGTGGGCCCAAAAAAC